AGAAGACAACCTTCTCTGAAACAAAACAATTGTGAAGGTTCTCAGTAGCTCTGCAACTGAGCTACAGCTGTGATGATTGGAAACTCTCGGATAGCTAGAATCACAGGCATGGCAATGGAGTCTCCTGAGATTCCCCTGCCCACCCTTTCTCCTGCAATGGGAGTGGAATGAATATATTTGATGTTGTGAGATGGACATGAATCTTTGTGGTCCGGGACAGAATGTTTTATTTTGGATAGTAGCTTGGATGTCTCTGAAAGGCCCATTTATTTATTTATTTATTTGACAGGCAGAGTGGATAGTGAGAGAGAGAGACAGAGAGAAAGGTCTTCCTTTTACCATTGGTTCACCCTCCAATGGCCGCCACGGCCGGTGCACTGCGCTGATCCGAAGCCAGGAGCTAGGTGCTTCTCCTGGTCTCCCATGCGGGTGCAGGGCCATCCTCCACTGCACTCCCAGGCCATAGCAGAGAGCTGGACTGGAAGAGGGGCAACTGGGACAGAATCCGGCGCCCCGACCAGGACTAGAACCTGGTGTGCCAGCGCTGCAGGTGGAGGATTAGCCTAGTGAGCCGTGAAAGGCCCATTTATTAGAGATATTTTCCTAAATATCTTAATGGTTAACAGATTAAAGATGGAACTTAATTATTATATCTACAAGTGGGGCCTTGGAAAGTGATTATATTGGACTGCTGGAATGACACATATGATTGAATCATGCTGGCTTTTTAAGGGAAGAACATGTAGACAATCGTAGGTAAAGGGCATGTTCCCTGTCTGTCTTCTTTCTGCTCCATCATGTGATCATCCATCCACCACCCTCCAGCCCACTATGAAAGGAGCGGCCGTGAGCCACCATAAAAGTGGCCTTAATAAAATAGAAAAGTGGGGCTCCTGAGACAAACAGTTCCAGAGACGGCCTTGGGAAATGGGGGAGTAAACCGGTTCACAGAGAAAGCAGTTAGCTACTAACCAGAGATACGGGCAACAGAACATCCTGCTATGTAGATAAGCCCCCTCCCCTGTGCTTGCTCAAGCTTAACAAAGAAACCGCAAGGCATGTAAGGCACGTAGCCACCCCTTTCCCCTCCTCAATGACCCCCTCCCCTTGTCCAAGCTTAGACACGTAGGGCACGTAGCCACCCGTTCCTCCTCCTCCTCGACGACCTCCTCCCCTTGTAGTTGCCCAATAAACTTACGCCACCCTATGGTATGTTAATTTTGTGGTTTTGCCCCTTAAAAGCTGTGTGAGATAGCTGCTCGGGGCTCCTCTCTTGCTCCGCTGCTTGCGGCGGCCAGCAGAGGGCCCATTTGCGCAAATGAAATAAAACTGCCTCCTGTTTTTTTGCATCCTCTGGTCTGGAGTCTGTGTTTCTGGGGTCGTCACAAAAGGACACCGCTTTTGGGGTTTCAACTAGATCCCCAAACCAATGAGGCAATTTGATGTTAGACTGTGAACTTCCAAAACTGTAAGTTGAAATAAACCTTCCATCTTAAGTAGCTCCTCTCAGGTAGTTTATTTAAGGTAACAAAAAGCTTACTAATGCACAGTTACTACAATGAAATAGCTATGCAGCTCATGTTATAAAGGAAAAAGTTTCTTTATCTCACAATTGTGGGGGTTCAAGTCTAAAATCAGGTGGTCCTTTTGGCTGGGCATCTGGTAGGGGTAGCAGATGGCAATCACAGAGTGTATGCAGACAAAACAGTCACGTGACAAGTCAGGAAGCAGTGGCTATCTTTGGCCAACGTGGCTTTTATAATCAACCTTCTCATGAGAACTGCCTTCTGAGGACATATCTCCAATTTTCTAAGAACCTCCGGCTAGGCCTACCACCTAAACACAATAGTTGGATTAAGTTTCCAGTTTATAGTACCATTAACTTATGATTTTTGTCATAAAAATCATGTAGGAACTTGGAAGCCAAATTATATTTAAATAATAAGATATATGTTTCCTCTGCTCTTAAAATTTTATGAAGAAATGCTTCAGGTTCTTGATCCCACAAAAGATTATTAGGCATTATTATTTTTTTTGACAGGCAGAGTGGACAGTGAGAGAGAGAGACAGAGAGAAAGGTCTTCCTTTTTCCATTGGTTCACCCCTCAATGGCCGCTGTGGCCGGCACACCATGCTAATCCAAAGCCAGGAGCCAGGTGCTTCCCTGGTCTCCCATGCAGGTGCAGGGCCCAAGGACCTGGGCCAACCTCCACTGCACTCCCGGACCACAGCAGAGAGCTGGCCTGGAAGAGGAGCAACTGAGACAGAATCTGGTGCCGCGACTGGGACTAGAACCCAGGATGCCAGCGCCGCTAGGTGGAGGATTAGCCTATTGAGCTGCGGCACCAGACTATTAGGCATTATTATGAACAAGTAAATGCCAACAAATTGGGAAACCTAGAAGAAATGGATACATTTCTAAACCTATACAATCTGCTAAAATTTAGCCATAAAAACAAAAAACATTGCGCAGATAAATAACAAGTTATGAGATTGAATCAGTTATACAAGTCTTCCAAAGAACGAAAAAAACAGGACCAGATGGTCCTCACTGCTGAACTGTAACAAATTTTTCAAGAACTAACACCAATCCTTCTGAAACTACTCTAAAATATTCAAAGGGATGGAACCCTTCCAAGCTTACTCTACAAAAACAACATTATCTTAACACCAAAACCAGACAAGGACATGACAAGTAAACAGAACTGCAGACCAGCATCCCTAATGAACATAGGTAGAAAATTTCTCAACAAAATATTATCAAATTGAATCTAACAAGACATCACAAAGATCATTTACCACCATCAAGTGGGATTTGTCCCAGGGATAGTTCAGCACACATAAGTCAATCAATATAATCCCATCAACAAATGAAGGATTAAAAATTACATTCCAATATGTGTTGGTGAAACATTCAAATTATCCTCATTTCAAATGGTATGATTCTACATGCAGAAAAACCTAAAGATTCCACCAAAAGACTGACAGCATTGATAAACCAATTTAGTAATATTTCAGGAACCAAAATCAACTTTCACAAATCATTAGCATTTATACAAACCAACAATGAATTTGCTGAGAAAGAAATTATAGGAGTCAGCACTGTGGCACAGTGGGCTAAAGCCCTGGCCTGAAGCGCCAGCATCCCATATGGGTGCTGGTTCTAGTCTTGGCTGCTCCTTTTCTGATCCAGTTCTCAACTATGGCCTGAGAAAGCAGTGGAGGATGGCCCAAGTCCTTGGGCCCCTGCACCCACATGGGAGATGCAGAAGAAGCTCCTGGCTTTGCATCGGCACAGCTCTGGTCATTGTGCCCATATGGGGAGTGAACCAGCAGATGGAAGACCTCTCTCTGTCTTTACCTATCTCTGTAACTCTTTCAAATAAATAAAGTAGATCTAGGAAGGAAGGGAGGGAGGGAGGGAGGGATTATAAAAGCAATTCTAGGCTGGCGCTGTGGCTCACTTGGTTGATCCTCTGCCTGTGGCGCCGCATCCCACATTGGCGCCAGGTTCTAGTCCCGGTTTCTCCTCTTCCAGTCCAGCTCTCTGCTATACCTGGGAAAGCAGTGGAGAATGGCCCAAGTGTTTGGGCCCCTGCACCCGCGTGGGATACCAGGAATAAGCACCTGGCTCCTGGCTTTGATCGGCACAGCTCCAGCCTTAGCAGCCATTTGGGGGGTGAACCAACGGAGGGAAGACCTTTCTCTCTGTCTCTCTCTCACTGTCTATAACTCTACCTGTCAAATAAATAAATTTAAAAGAGCAATTCTATCGAAAATAACTTTAAAAATTCACAATAGCTAAGATATAGAATCAACCCAGATGTCCATCAACTGATGATCAGATAAAGAAATTATGTTATGTAAACAACACGGAATACTACTCAGTGGTGAAAAAAATGAAATCCTGTTTTTTGCAACAAAATGGATGCAACTGGAACCCATTATACTTAATGAAATAAACCAATCCCAAAAAGATAAGCACCATATGTTTTCCCTGACCTGTGGTAACTAATGAGGTACCTAATGGTACTTAAAATGCAATGCATAGGAGTGAAGTCAACATTTTGAGTTGAGGAACAGTGTTTTTTTAAAAATAGTGTTGTTGTCCTTTTTTTCTTCATGTTATTTGTTGAATTCTCTTTTATTTATTTATTTGACAGGTAGAGTTTACAGTGAGAGAGAGACAGAGAAAGGTCTTCCTTCTGTTGGTTCACTCTCCAATGGCTGCAACGGCCGGAGCTGCACCGATTAAAGCCAGGAGCCAGGTGCTTCTCCTGGTCTCCCACGCGGGTGCAGGGGCCCAAACACTTGGGCCATCCTCCACTGCTTTCCCAGGTATAGCAGAGAGCTGGACTGGAAGAGGAGAAACTGGGACTAAAACCCAGCACCCATATGGGATGCCGGCACCGCAGGTGGAGGGTTAACGTAGTGCACCATGGCGCCGGCCCCATGTTTGTTGAACTCTTTACTTAGTGTAGGGTTAATCCTATGAATATAAACTGAAAATTAAAAGTGGGAATAGGAGAGGGAGGAGGAAGAGGAGTGGGAGCAGGGTTGAGAGGGAAGGTACAGTGGGAAGTATTACTATGTTCCTAAATCTATATATATGAAACACATGAAATTTGTGTACCTTAAATAAAGTTTTTTAAAAATCTTGGAATAAGTTAAATCTAGCACAAAAAGACTTCTAGAATGAAAATTACAAAAATAATGAAAAATTTAAGACACAAAAAAGTGCAACAACCACCTGTGCGTGATTGGAAGAATCAAATTCTGTATTACCCAGAGCAATTTACCAATTCAACAAAATCCCCACCAAAATACCAGTAATAGTCTTCACAGAACTAGAAAAAAATACTGAAATTCATGTGGCAGCATGAAATACCCCAACAGCCACAGCAATCTTGAACATACATTACAGAGAGGACAATATCCTCAATAAATGGTGCTGGGGAAATTGTATACCCATCTGCAGAAGACTGTAACTAGATTCTACCTCTCCATCTTTACAAAAATCAATTCAACAGATCAAAGACCTGTATGCAAGGCATGAAACTACTAGAAGGAAATGCTTGGTATTTTACACGTATGCCTAAACAAGACATTCCTCTTCAGAGTGGACGTGCCCCCAGTCAAATAAGTTTCTTCGTTGTTCCTTGGTGTTTTCTCTCAAGACCTTTTTCTGCACACCTCTTAGAATCACCAAATCTCTCTTCCGTGGGATGTAGCATCCTGGAAATGACGTGCCGGGGATTCCCCTGAGCAGTGGGCAACACTGACTCCTGACATAACTTCATCTGCATGGTCTTCAATGAAGACCTTTGAGGAAAAGGGAGAAATGGGGGTGGGGGTCAGCACGAGTGCAGAATGCTGAAGAGGAAAGCCAGAGTCCCTGTGTGGGCCTTTACAGAAGTGCTGGGGGAACCGGCTGCTGCTTCTATAGTGCGTTGAGAACGTAAAAGGCAACAGTTTTACAGATTTTGTCAATACTCAGCAGACCTTGGGAGATTCCAGAGAGAACAGTCCGTTCCTTTCCCGGATGTTTGAGCGGACTTGCAACTTTTGTAACCGCTTGATTGGAGCCGGTTTCCAAACAGCCGGCTCACTCCATCTTGTTCATCTCCAAAGGCGGCTCACTCCTCAGTCCCCCGACCCATTTTCTTAAACGAAACCTCAGTTTTGCTTCCCCTCAGCTAAACGGAACCCGAGTCTCCCTGTTGGCAAAACTGTTCTTCAGGAACAAAACTGCCTTTGCTTTTCAAGTCCTGTATAGTTTTTGGTTCCAGATGAACCTTTGCGATCCATTTTGGTGGGCATGGGGCAGTAGTTTTGAATCCCAATTAAAGGAAATGTTATCCCCATTTAAAAAATTCCATACTTCTCACTGTAGACGTGCAAACATGTGTATTATTCAATCATTATGGTTTAGTTTCATCACTATACATGGGGAGGGAGGATGGGCGTGGAGAGTTCCAGCACTGAGGCAGGAAGCCGGCTGGTTGCGAGGGGCTGTGGGACGGGTCCTCCGGACAGGTCCTGACCTCTCCGGGAACTCTCAGGGCCGAGGACACAAGCCCAGGTCTCCAGGGTTCAGTGCGGCCCTCATGAGGCGCAAACGCCAAGCGCAGGTGGGAGTGTGGAGGCCCAGCCTCCTCAGCGGTGGCCCGGGTTCCCCCCGCGCATGCGTAGCAGGCAACCGGAGCCCGCGCCGCCAAGTCGCCATTGCGGGAAGGCTGTCATCAGCCCCAGCCGGGCGCCAGCTGCTGGTCCAGCCCCCGGGGCCCAGTCAGCGGGCTTCATTGGCTCAGGCTGCGGAGCCCTCAGCGCCTTCTCCCGCCCCGGCCCGGGCGGCGGCGGCAGTGGCCTCTGGGGGCGGAGCCGCCAGGAGCGGCCTCCGTGGAGCTGGTGAGTGCGGCGAGGAGGCGGCCGAGGGGGAGGGAAGGGCGGGCGCCCCGGGCAGTGGTCGCTTGCGGGACCCCGGCTTGCCTCGAGGCGTCCCTGTGCCCCGCTGCCCTGTGCCTCGTCTGCATTTTGATCTTTTATAGAAACGAGCTTCCCCACCCTGGTAGTGAAACCCTAGTCTCCTGGTGTGATGCCCACAGAGGGCACGGAAGCCTCTCCCCCACACCCTGTCCTGTGTCTGGCTTTCCCACTTGGCGGTCCTGAGTGAAGTGACCGCGGCGGGTCTAACCTTCACTAAATAGATCCGTGCACCAGGATCTGCCAGCAGGTGCAGTGCATGCAGCTCCCTGTTAGTCCAGCACGCCAGCACACAAAGCAGCCCTCACACCCGACCTTGAGATTTTCTGCATCAACCGATATGACCGCTTAGAATGGCGCTGTACAAGAAAGAAGAGTTTTGTTTTGTTTTGCTGAAATATATCGTATGTTTGAGATAATTCGAGTATAAAGTGCAATAAAACTATTGCACTGGAAATGATGAACTCTTTAAGTCCTTGGTAAGTATACAAGTGGAACCGAAGCCATTTACTAGACAAAGTAATGTGACTGAGTGTTAATGGCTCCTGCATTGCCATGGTCGTAACTTACTTCATCACTCTGCTATTTGATACATAGCCTGGCAATTCTCTGTGGCTTCAGCTATTGTAGTGACGGGCTTTCAAAATGCTGTGGAAGGAATTAACCCAAGAAGCCAGAAGGTGGTGACTCAGGCCTGGTGCTCAGTCCTTTGACCTGTACCTTTCAATTCTTGCCCTGTTAACTATCAGACATATTCAACAAGTTCATGGAAAAGGTGTTTCATGAAAAACTGTATAGATTTCAAAAAGTTTATGTACTAACCAAACTAAACAGCTTTTAATTCCATTTTCCATGAACTCGCTGAAGCCCCTTCATATTTGTTTTCTCATCAAATGCTTTTAAATCCCCCCCCCAAAAAAAGTATCAAGTTCATGAAAAACAGAAAGCCTGAAGAACTGTTACAGATTAGAGGCAACTACAGAGTCAAGTAAATGTGATGTAGGATGCTGGATCCGAGAAAGAACATTAATGGAGAAAGTGGTGAAATGTGTGAATAGCTTGAGTTAATTGTTCTGTACTGATGTTAGCTTCTTGGTTTTGATCATTGCACCATGGATATATAAAATGTTAACATTAGGGTAAGCATGTGAGTGGGATACAGAAACACGATATTGCAGCCTTCTTATAAGTATAAATTGGTTCAAACTTAAAAGTATTTTTAAAAACAGAAAGGCAAACACCAGCACCCACTCATTTAGTAAATATTTATTGAGTACCTATTATGTGTTGGCACTGGGCAATTTGAAAATAGAATAGTTAACAAGACTGGAATCCTGGAGATCAGCGTTATACAATGGTGAGATGTTAAGATGAGTTGCTAGACAAATAACATAGTGATTAAAAAAATGCTGCCCGAAGTAAAAAGGTGATCATGTGGGCTGTCCCCTGGTCTGTGATGTCAGAGTCTTCCCTGATTTGAGCTGACTTTGCCTGTTTAAGAGTAGGTGTTGTTATAAGGGAGGGAAGGACATGGGCACATCAGGGCAGTGCAGATGAAGGTTGGGAGTAACCCCGAAGAGTGACCTGAGAATAGGAAGCAGGCAGGTCATAGGAGTCCTCATGGCTTTGGACTCCAGCCTAGGAGTCGAATCCCTGGAGGATTCAAGTGGGGGAATGAACATGATCTGCGTCCTATCTTTGAAAGATCCCTTTACCCCAACTGCAGAGGGAACAAGAGTAGATTCTGGGAAATCCTAAAACAACCCATAAATGTAGGTAGAGCATAGCCCACTGGGAGAGACTGTGGAAGCAAAGCAAGAGGCTACTGCCAGAGTGTCAAATACCCATCAAGTTTAAATAAGTGGGAAGTCATTGGGGCTGGCGCCGTGGCGCAGTGGGTTAACGCCCTGGCCTGAGGCACTGGCATCCCATATTGGCACTGGTTCGAGACCCCACTGCTCCACTTCCTGTGCAGTTCTCTGCTGTGGCCCAGGAAAGCAATGGAGGGTGTCCCAGATCCTTGGGCCCCTGCACCCATGTGGGAGACCCAGAGGAAACTCCTGGCTCCTGGCTTCAGATCAGTGCCGCTCCAGCCGTTGTGGCCATTTGGGGAGTGAACCATCAGATGGAACACCTCTCTCTCTCTTTCTGCCTCTCCTCTCTCTGTGTAACTCTTTCAAATGGGTGAATAAATCTTAAAAAAAAAAAAAAAAAAAAGTGGGAAATTGTGAGGTCCGTGGCATAAGCCATATATCCAAGTGAGGACCTAGAATAAGTGTAGACAATCCTTTTCAAGAATGGTGGGCCAGCGCCATGACTCACTAGGCTAATCTTCCATCTGCAGCACCTGCACCCCAGGTTCTAGTCCCTGTTGGGGCGCCGGATTCTGTCCTGCTTGCTCCTCTTCTAGCTCTCTGCTGTGGCCCGGGAAGGCAGTGGAGGATGGCCCAAGTGCTTGGTCCTGCACCCGCGCGGGAGACCAGGAGAAGCACCTGGCTCCTGGCTTCAGATCCATGTGGTGTGCTGGCCATGCGGCCATTTGGGGGGTGAACCAATGGAAAAAGGAAGACCTTTCTGTCTCCCTCTCACTGTCTAACTCTGCCTGTCCAAAAAAAAAAAAAAAAAAAGTTCCCTTACCAAAAAAAAGAATTGTGGAATTGTGGCCTTGAAAAAAGAGAAAGATGGTTACCAAGGAGTGCATAGCCAGGGAGTTTTGAACATTGAGAGGGACGTTAAATGTTTTTTAAATGATGACTCAGAGGATTCAAAAGTGAAATGTCTATCTAGTTGGAGGTAGAGTAGGAGCAATGGGGTGGGGAGCTGGAGAGAATGTAGGGACTGAAGGAAGAATTACTTTCCGATGGAAATTCCTGGGCCTCCTGAGGTACTATTCCATCAGGTCTGGGTAAGAGCGTGAGACTGGTCTTTTCCACAAATAACCATGACTCAAGTGGGCTTCAGACCAACTTTGATAAATTCTGATCTATTTTCCCTCCTACTAAGTCTCCCCCACCCCCCATCTTCCCTTTGTTCGCTACCCAGTCCAGGTTCCACTGTGTAGAATTTCCCGAGGTGAGAAAGATTTCTAGGGTGGTGTGCCTAGAGGTGGGTGGCTTGTATAGAATGATACGGCCACTCTTTGCAATTGAGGCAGTCAAGGAAATGAAAGACTCCAACAGTTGTTGTGAACTCTTGCCTCAACATCACTCATGTGGCATTCTTTGAAGTATGTAGATGTCCAACTCCACCTCTACAGGTTCTGCTGCAGTAGCTTTTGGGTGGAACCTGAGCGTCTATACCTTTACATCTGTACACTTCAAAATCACTGCAAGTGTGTCTACTGCACAATCCAGGCTGAGAACTACTGCATGCCTTTGCTACACAGCAGAGATCACTGGGATTGTTGGAAGAGCTCGGAGTGAAAGGGAAAACTGTTGAACCAAGAAGCTTGGTATTAGTTAATTGTTATGGGGGGGTGGGTAGTGCCATGGCTCACTTGGTTAATCCTCCGCCTGCAGCGCCGGCATCCCATATGAGCACCAGGTTCTAGTCCCGTTTGCTCCTCTTTCAGTCCAACTCTCTACTATGGCCTGGGAGGGCAGTGGAGGATGGCCCAAGTACTTGGGCTCCTGCACTGCATGGGAGATCAGGAGGAAGCACCTGGCTCCTGGCTTCGGGTTGGCACAGCGCCGGCCATAGTGGCCATTTGGGGAGTGAACCAATGGAAGGAAGACCTTTCTCTCTGTCTCTCTCTCACTGTCTATGACTCTACCTGTCAAACAAAATTTACTTACAAAAGGCCTAACTCTTAGTGAATTGGCTGCGAAGTGTTAAATTAGTGCTCCCAGATGGTGAATTCCTTCCTTATCTCGAAAGGCCGTTCTGTTGGAATTGGCAGCTTCTGTCCCCACAACAGATTACTTCTCAGAAGTGGCTTCTGTATTTCTGTCACTCGCTTTTTGAGAGATTTTTCAGGTCAAACTTTGTGAACAGAAAGTGTATTCTTTCATGATTATTAGCAAATTAATGTTTCCACTTATTTATTGTTGAAATGTCTGCTTTTCCATCTTTCTCTGAAACAACAACAACAAAAAAATGCCACTCTTTCAGAAGATGCTTCAGAGGCCACGGCTGCTGTGTTTGCTGTTCTGGGAAGAGAATGGGGAAGGAGTGAGGCTAAATGTTTTGTCGTTGTTACAGCTATACATCTCTTTCTGCGCTGTGTGGATCTCAGAAATTCTCGGCGTGCATTTTCATTGTTTTAAAGAACGCCACACCTTAGTGCCCTGTCTGTATGAATGGGTACTTTGTAGATCCCTAGGTGGCTGAGACTGCTGATGTCTTCTGCTGACTGTGGTGCATCTCATTGCAGGTGCTCGGCCTGAACCTGCATCTCACAAGATCCCCGCCAAGAGACAGATTTGTGTACCATAGAGAAGTTTCTACATGAGGGTTGATGCCTTTAGGGGAAAAAGTAATAAGTTCCTTCAAGAGCTCCTGCTTCTCAACTCTGCTCCAACAAGGCAAGATTCTGAGAGGGGCTGTCCCCTGGGAAGCAGACTCCATTCTTGTGGCTCTCCCATTGGCTCCTGAGACTTTCATCAGAGATGGGGCCCCTTTAACTGCTGGGAGCATCCACTGTCGCTCAGGCACTGAAGCCGCTGGCATGGGTGTGTGTCCTGACCAGAGAAGCTGAGCTTTGGTGAGATGATAGCGCAAGAACTACAAACACGTGTGGTCATCCTGGTGGAGGGCTGAATGCAGATACTCAAAAAGGAAGGTAAACCAAAGGGAGAAGAATGAAATCTCCTTTCCTATTTAAAGGACCTCCTGAGAGGAGAGAAGAGGCAGAGCTCTGGGATCTTAGGTTTGGAAGTGAATTTCTGCCTCATGAACTTATATAGAGTGAGAAGAGACCCTCAACACGTGTTCTGTGTACCATCTCACCTCAGCAGTGCACACTTATGTTTAGAATCACTCGGAGACTTTAGAATTGAAAGCATTGTCCTGGCCCTCTGCAGACCAGTTCAATCCAAATATCTGGGAGTAGAGGCATCTTCTAATTTCCCTGGGAAAGTCGAGGCTGAAAAGTACTGAGCTGCCCATATGCCCAAGTGGAGCTGTATCACAGCTGAGAGAAGGGTGTCCACTGAATTCCTTCCCCAGAGTAACGGGTGCAACAGCTAGGTCATGCAGCTTGAAGCTCATATACACCATCCACCATAGCAACGTGAGGCAGAAGCTCTAAGATTTCAATTTAGCCTTCATTTCATGTATGAACAAGATACCACTTTTCTCTGTTTCGTAGGTATGCCTTCTCAGAATGCTGGGCTTTCCCAAGAGGTGACCGTGGAAGAGAAAGAAATGAATAATGGATTGCAGCTGGCCAGATCCCAGGTGAGTGGTGTTTTCCTCTCTACAATGCTATCATTGTTCTCAGAATGTAGGCACTTTTCATTTTCCAATTCTCAAGAAAAAAAAAAAATCCAGAACCAAGAGACTCTCTGTCTTTTCTACTTCCAGCACTTTCACCAGACTCATTTTCATGAACTGCTGTGCTAAAGTTGTGAGTTTTAATCACCCTTCACTTACACAGCTGGCCAGAATTTAAACACTTGCTGTTCTCTCTATACGTCCAGTGAGCAAATGATGCCCCAGTCACTGTGAGCATTCGGATTTAATGGGATTATTAAATATGCCTGATGCTATTTGCTGCCACAAGCTATTGTCATTAACACTCTGTTGCATTTCTTCCAAAACCTTTGTAAGCCTATTGTTATAATTCTGTAATTTGAGTAAGTATTATCTAAATTGATGGGATATGGATGAGATAAGCAGTTGTTGCTAAGAAAGCCAATTGAATGCTTTGGAAAGACTCGGTAAATTCCAGTCACTTTCCAAAAAAACGCTATCAAATTAATTGTGAGCAAAATTGTAAAACACTGAAGACATAAAAACTCTCAGAGGATTCTATGCATTTTTTATTTATTTAACAGGTAGAGTTATAGACAGAGAGAAAGACAGAGAGAAAGGTCTTCCTTCCATTGGTTCACTCCCCAAATGGCCACTATGACCGTGCCAATCTGAAGCCAAGAGCCAGGTGATTCTTCTTCATCTCCCATGCGGTGCAGGAGCCCAAGCACTTGGGCCATCCTCCACTGCCCTCCCAGGCCACAGCAGAGAGCTGGACTGGAAGAGGAGCAACCAGGACTAGAACCCAGCACCCATATGGGATGCCGGCACTGCAGGAGGAGGATTAACCAAGTGAGCCACGGCACTGGCCCCTATGCATTTTTTATTTCAGAGTCATTTCCTCATTCTACTTTAACAAAGCAAACACACATTATGGGGATGACCAGACAGTCATTAAAACCACTCTCAGTGAAAAGTCAATTTCCTTTCAGAAGATGAGAGAATGAATATACATTTATGTGTGTGTGTGTGTGTGTGTGTGTGTGTTTTTTGACAGGCATAGTGAACAGTGAGGGAGAGAGACAGAGAGAAAGGTCTTCCTTTTGCCGTTGGTTCACCCTCCAATGGCCGCCGCAGCCGGTGCACTGTGCTGATCCGAAGGCAGGAGCCAGGTGCTTCTCCTGGTCTCCCATGCGGGTGCAGGGCCCAAGCACTTGGGCCATCCTCCACTGTACTCCTGGGCCACAGCAGAGAGCTGGACTGGAAGAGGAGCAACTGGGACAGAATCTGGCGCCCTAGCCGGGACTAGAACCCGGGGTGCCAGCACCACAGGCAGAGGATTAGCCTATTGAGCCATGGCACTGGCCTCATTTATGTTTTAAATATAAATTTCAGATATCTTTTATGAATCTCCACTTTACAGCCGTTTTGCTTAACAAAGAAGATGCCAGTGTCAATTGCTTCAACTTACTATTCTTCAGATATACATCAGTGAGTAAAACAGACATGGTCCTAAACCCTAAGGAACTCACTGACAGACATTTAGGAAATATTCTGGCTGGCACTGTGTCTCACTTGGTTAATCCTCTGCCTGCGGTGCTGGCACCCCGGGTTCTAGTCCCAGTTGGGGCTCCAGATTCTGTCCTGGTTACTCCTCTTCCAATTCAGCTCTCTGCTGTGGCCCAGGAAGGCAGTGGAGGACAGCCCAAGTGCTTGGGCCCTGCACCTGCATGGGAGACCAGGAGAAGCACCTGGCTCCTGGCTTTGGATTGGCGAAGTGCACCAGCCGTAGCAGCCATTTGGGGGGTGAATCAATGGAAGGAAGACCTTTCTGTCTCTCTCTCTTACTGCCTGTCAAAAAAAAAAAAAAAAAGAAAATATTCTAATAAATTGAAAATTAGATGTTCCTTTCCCTTAAAGAGCTTTATTTTAAAGGCAGAGTTAGAGAAAGGGAGATACAGAGAGAAAGATCTTTCAACCACTGGTTCACTGCCCTGAGTGGGCCTGGAACTCCATCCAAGTCTCCCAAGTGGGTGGCAAGGGCTGGAGTACTTCAACCATCTTCCTCTGCTTTCCCAGGCCATTAGCAGGGAACTGGATTGGAAGTGGCGCTTCCAGGACACGAACCTGTGCCCATATAAAGTGGCAGCATCACAAGTAGTGGCTTAACACACTACGTACACCACAACAGCAGCCCATCAGATTAGTTGTTTCTCATACAAAGTAGGAAAAAGGTGCTGGGGCTGGCGCTGTGGCGTAGTGGGTTAAGCCTCCATCTGCAGCAGCAGTATCCCATATGGGGCACCAGTTCGAGTCCCTGCTACTCCACTTCTGATGCAGCTCCCTGCTCATGTGCCTGAGAAAGCAGTGGAAGATGGCCTAGGTGTTTGGGCCCTTGCACCCACATAGAAGACCTGGAGGAAACTCCTGACTCCTGGCTTTGGATTGGTCCTGCTTTGGCTGTTGTGGCCATTTGGGGAATGAACCAGCAGATGGAAGATCTCTCCCTCTCTGCCTTTGCCTCTCCCTCTATGTAACTCCTCCTTTCAAGTAAAATAAATAAATCTTTAGAGAGAGAGAGAAAGAGAGAGAGAGAGAAAAAGGTGCTAATAATACTTCTTAAAGGAATTGGCAAAACACAGCAGAAACAAAATGTAAAGTGAAATATGAAGGCAATATAAGTAGAAAAGAGCATTTTCGGCATGTGCTAAATACTATATGCAACAACCATGGGTATTTGAGAAGATGAAAAAGGCCACTGTGATCAAGGTGCAAGGAAGGGAGAGAGTGAGGTAAGGTGAGCTGAGAAAAGTGAGCAGGAGCTAAATCCCAAGGTCTTGTGGTCTTGAGTTTTACTCTTAAGTACAGTGGAAAACCTCTGGGGGAATTTAAGAAGCCACAAGCTTCATCCAGGTCTCCCACGTGGGTGCAGGGGCCCAAGTACTTGGGTCATCTTCTACTGCTTTCCCAGGCCACAGCAGAGAGCTGGATGGGAAATAGAGCAGCCAGGACTAGAACCTGTGCCATATGGGATGTCAGCACTATAGGCATCAGCTTTACCAGCTATGCCATGCGTCAGCCCCAAATCTTTCTAATATGTAAAACACTTCCCTAAATCAGTGAGAGGTTAGGAGTCCAGTGGAAAAGTATACAAACAGGGGCCAGTGCTGTGGCATACTGGGTTAAGCCACCATCTGCAGTGCCATGTGGGAGAAACTCCTGGGTCCTGGCTTCGATCAGCCCAGCTGTGGTCATTGTGGCCATTTGGGGAGTGAATCAGCAGATCGAAGACCTTTCTCTCGTCTCTCCCTCTCAGTCTGTAATTCTACCTCTCAAATAAATGAAATCTTAAAAAAAAAAAGAGAGAGAGAGACTGAGCACTTTTCTGGCATCCCATGTGGGTGCCAGTTCAAGTCCCTGCTGTTCCACTTCTGATCCAGCTCCCTGCTAATGATCCTGGAAAAGCATTGGAAGATGGCCCAAGTACTTGGGCCCCTGCACCCACACGGAGATTCAGAAGAAGCTCCTGGCTCCTGGCTGTAACTGCCTTTCAAATAAATAAATCTTTTAAAAATATATACAAACAACATTAAAAGATAATTCACAGGAAAGAAGATTGATACAGATGTTAAACACATGACAATGTACATCTGTACTCATAACAAAAAGAAATTTACAAGGCCGCAGCTCACTAGGCTAATCCTCCGCCTGCGGCGCCAGCACCCTAGGTTCTAGTCCCAGTTGGGGCGCCTGATGCTGTCCTGGTTGCTCCTCTTCCAGTCCAGCTCTCTGCTGTGGCCCAGGATGCAGTGGAGGATGGCCCAAGAGGTTGGGCCCTGCACCCACATGGGAGACCAGGAGGAAGCACCTGGCTCCTGGCTTCGGATCAGCATAGTGCGGCGGCCGCAGCGGCCATTGGGGAGTGAACCAACGGAAAAAGGAAGACCTTTCTCTCTGTCTGTCTCACTGTCCACTCTGCCTGTCAAAAATTTAAAAAAAAAATTTTAAAAAGAAATTTACACTATAACTAGAGGGGGCAGGAGTTTAGCTGGCAGTTGAGACACCAGTTAGGACACCTGCATCCCATAATTGGAGTACCTGCCCAGTTCTTTTTTTTTTTTTTTTAATTTTTTTTTGACAGAGTGGACAGTGAGAGAGAGAGAGAGAGAAAGGTCTTCCTTTGCCGTTGGTTCACCCTCCAATGGCCGCCGTGGCCGGCACGCTGCAGCCGGCACACCGCGCTGATCCGAAGGCAGGAACCAGGTACTTCTCCTGGTCTCCCATGGGGTGCAGGGCCCAAGCACTTGGGCCATCCTCCACTGCACTCCCGGGCCATAGCAGAGAGCTGGCCTGAAAGAGGGGCAACCAGGACAGAATCCGTCAATGCCCAGTTCTTGGCTCCAGTTTCCTGCCGGTGCAGACCCTGAGAGTCAGGGGTGATGGTTCAGGTGCTTAAACTCCTGCCACTCATGGGGAGGACCTGGCCTGAGTCCCCAGTTCCTAACTTCAGCCCAGCCCAGCCCCAGTCCTGTGGGGGCATTTGAGGAGTAGGCCAGTGGGTGGGAGCTCACTTGCTTTTTTTTAATTGACTTGTCTCAAATCAATTTTTTAAAAAAGGTAGGAAAAACTTGATGTTTTATCACCAAACTTGTTATTATCCACAAGCTTGATCTTTTCTACAAGCTCGGTAAGATACTATCTCAACAGAGCTGCGAGGAAACAGGTACTCTCTTGCTGCTATTGTGAGTGGGTGGCAGACGGCACATTCAGAAAAAAATGGCCAAGATATCAGCCACCCCAAAGGCTTTGTTTACAATGTGACTTGGACTCCTCCTTCGTGGACATGGGAGTCTGTGTTCCCTCTGTTGAGTACAGTCAATCCTGTGACTGTGGTGGAAGCCAAGACATGTGACTTTCAAGACAGATCATTAAAGACAGGAAGATGGCCAGCGCTGCAGCTCAATAGGCTAATCCTCCACCTGCGGCACTGGCACACCAGGTTCTAGTCCTGGTCGGGGTGCCGGATTCTGTCCCGGTTGCTCCTCTTCCAGGCCAGCTCTCTGCTGTGGCCCGGGAGGGCAGTGGAGTCCTTGGGCCCTGCACCCGCATGGGGGACCAGGAGAAGCACCTGGCTCCTGGCTTCAGATCAGCGTGCTGCGCCGGCCACAGCGGCCACTGGGGGGTGAACCAACAGAGAGGGAAGATCTTTCTCTCTCACTCTCCACTCGGCCTGTCCAAAAAAAAAAAAAAAGACAGGGAGACATCTTCATTCTGTTGGGAATGCTTGCTCTAAACTCAGCCACCTCGCCATGAAGAAACCCAGACAGCCCATGGAGAAGCCCACATGGCGAGGAGCCAAGGCCCACAGCCCCAGCAGCGTCCTTGCCAGCCCTGTGAGTGAGCCATCGTGACAGTGGATCCTCCATTCCTCAGGCAGGCCTTTCCTGCTCATGCTACCTAGACCGGAGGCCAACTGCCCACTAAGTCCTGCCCAAATGGCAGATTATTTTAACAAAATAAATGATGGTTGCTGTTTTAATCCCCCAAGAAATATTATGCTAAGCAGCAATAGAAAACTGTTAACAGATTTTGGTTCCTGGAAGTGGGGTGCTGCCAATACAAAAACCTAAGCCATATAGCACGGGCTGTGGGAACTGATCTGTGGGAAGAAGATAGAAGGGAAAAGATTGATACTGAAATTATAAAGGGCCTCATGGAGACATGGTGGAAGTCTAAAGGGTCTTTGTCAAGAGCTTTAGGGATAGTAAGGATGATATTATTAGATGCTGGAGGAAAGAGGACCCTTAAAGAAGAAATGCTGGGTGACATTGTCCCCTTCAGTAACAGAATAATAGAGGGTGTGCTTAATGAACTTGATCTAGCTAAGGAGACTTTTCAGGTATAAGATTGGAATTACCACCTGAGAGCTTCTGGCTCACCAAAATGAAATGTGAGAGGAAAAGCTAAATAAAGACCTGATAAATATAAAGAAACCAGGAATTACTGAATGTCTCATATTAACCCAAGCAGCAGACAACAATCAATTTCAGAAAGGGCTTCACAGCAAGACTCAAACCCTTTGTGACAACATGAGATCTAAGGCTGTGCCTCATAGGCCAACCTACTGTGTTAAACATAAGGTTTCTAAGAATCATGAAGATGGCGTGCCCCAAGTCATAGGAAATGCAAAGGAGAGACGGACTCGTCTCAGAGAGATTTGTGGGTGTGGCCTTTATTATGAATTGGTACACAGTTACATTTTTTCAAAGAAAGATACTTTTTTTTACTTTTTACAGATAGAGTTAGACAGTGAGAGAGGGAGACAGAGAGAAAGGTCTTCCTTCCATTGGTTCACTCCCCAAATGGCCACCACAGCTAGAGCTACGCCGATCTGAAGCCAGGAGCTTCCTCCTGGTCTCCCATGTGGGTGCAGGGCCCAAGCACTTGGGCCATCCTCCACTGCCTTCCCGGGACACAACAGAGAGCTGGACTGGAAGAGGAGCAACCGGGACTAGAACCCAGTGCCCATATGGGATGCCGGCGCTGCAGGCGGAGGATTACCCAGGTGAGCCATGGTGCCAGCCCACACAGTTACATTTTATCAGCTTCTATTGGAAGGAATGGAGAGGGCTTCTGAGCAATCAAACTTCAGTGGGCAGAAAGCAGGCTTCGAAAACCACACAGCCTCAAGCACAGGCTACTTTAAATGGCCAGGGGACCATGACTCAGGGCAGAAACAAAAATGAGAACATTAAAAATGCTCTTTTTTAGCTTTTTTGAAGTATATATAATATGACTGTTTACTGTTCAATCTGTCACCAGGATTTATTTTTCTTATTTTATTGTAACATTGTAACATTGTACAGACTTGTGAACCAGTCTCTCCCCAACCCTATCCTTCCTTCACTCCCCAGCCTCTGGGAACTACTACTCTTGTCTCAACTTCTATGTGATCAACTTTTTAGAATTGATACATGATAATTGTACATATTTATGGGGTAGAGCATGATATGGTGATGTGTGTATATAATTGTAATGCAGTACCCACTGACCAGCCCCCCTTTACCCTCCGCCCCGATCTGTCCCCTCTACCTTTCCCAGCTCTGGTAACCACAGTTCTTTTTAAAAAAATTTTATTTATTTATTTATTTGAAAGGCAGAGTTACAAAGAGGCAGAAGCAGAGAGAGACAGAGGTCTTCCATCTGCTGGTTCATTCTCCAGATGGCCGCAACAGCCAGAGCTATGCCAGTCTGAAGCCAGGAGCTTATTCCTGGCTTCCCACATTCCCTTATTCCAGATCTCCCATGTGGGCGCAGGGGCCCAAGGACTTGGGACCATCTTCTACTGCTTCCCTAGGCCATAGCAGAGAGCTGGATCAGAAGTCAGGCAGCTGGTACATGAAGCAATGCCCATATGGGATGCCAGCACTGCAGGCGGTGGCTTTATGCACTGCGCCACAATGCCGACCCCTGGTAACCACAATTCTACCCTCTATTTCTATGCAATCAATTTTTGTTATGTGTCAGTCAGAAATAAAGCTTTAAAAGATGAGGAAGCTCTCTATGTTCTAATAGGTCTGAAGTGTAAGCTCTTTTTTTTTTTTTGGCAGGCAGAGTTAGACAGCAAGAGAGAGAGACAGAGACAGAAAGGTCTTCCTTTTCTGTTGATTCAACCCCCAAATGGCAGCTACAGCTGGTGTGCTGTGCCGATCTAAAGCCAGGAGCCAGGCGCTTCCCCCTGGTCTCCCATGTGGATGCAGGGCCCAAGCACCTGGGCCATCCTCCACTGCACTCCCAGGCCACAGCAGAGAGCTGGACTGGAGGAGGAACAACCGGGAGAGAATCCAGCACCCCAACCAGGACTAGAACCTGGTGTGCTGGCGCTGCAGGCAGAGGATTAGCCTATTGAGCCACGGCGCTGGTCATAAAGCTCTTTTAAAAAAGTAAATAAAATATTACCTTTGAGGTTAAAAATGGGAAGAGACAATTTATGTTCGTATTTATATAAAGAGGAATTAAGGAAAATATTCTAGAAACTAAAAAACTGACGATTGGGGAGATGGACAAAGGGAAGAAACTTGGAAGAAAGGACTTTTGTAGTATATAATTTTTGTAAGTTTTTGTTACTATAGCATAGTAATATATTACATACCCAAAAACAAAATTCAAATTAGGTTATGAAAGAAAAAAAAGAAGAAAACAGGGGGAAAAGAAATTGTTAAAAAGGTCAACATTAGAAGGTATAAAAAGAAATATAAACTATAGGCAGCATACTGATTAATTCAGCAAAAAAGAACTACAGATGTGGATACTCAAGAACACAGGCCTGACCCATGAGTTTCCTCACCCTTACCAATGTAGCAGCTCTGGTGCTGTCCTGAAGAAGCACTGAACAGAAATCAGAAATAAAAGTCACGAGGGAAATATTCATAGAAGGAAAATAAGACTTCTTTGAGATAATCATAGAGCATGAGACTAAATAAATCCCATTGCTATTTACTAACTGTACATCCTTGGGTAAGTTAACCCGGGGGTGGGTGCTTGTGGTGCAGTAGTTAAGCCACCACTTGTGATACCTGCATCCCATACGATAGTGCCTGGGTTCAAGTCCCATCTCCATAACTGATCCAGCTCCCTGCTAATGCACACCCTGGAGGCAGCAGGTGGTGGTTCAAGTGCTTGGGTCCCTGCCACCCATGTGAGAGACTCAGATGGAGTTCATGGCTCTTGGTTTTGGCCTGACCCATTCCTGGCTGTTGTGGGCATTTGAGAAATTAACCAGCGGATGGAAGGTGTGTGCGCGCTCTCTCTCTCTGCCTTTCAAATGAATAATTTTTTTAAATTTTAAAAGTTACTTAATTCCTACTAGTCTTAGTTCTCTCAAATTGTTATTAAAATACATTTTAGAAAAATAAATGATCAAAGCATGAAAATTAATTTAAACTCCCATTACTGTACTAACATACTGAATTTTAGGTCACAGGGAAAAGCACTTTACTTGGAACACCACACTCTATTCATTCTAAAAAACTGATGATATATTTTTTCCATGAGAAGGGAGGTATTTGGGAGGATGGTAGGGAGTAAGGGAAGAGGCAGAGAAATACACATAGGATGCAGGGAGGGGGGTTGTTCTCTCTACCTGAAAGGAGAACATTTATTCTACTAATCCCAGCATACATCATAGGCCATCTGCTTTCAACCTGTTTGCCATTTTTTTTTCTTTAACTTACTGGGCTATCCTCTCCTCTTCTGTCCAAAGCATAAAGATCTGTTAAGGATTTACACAAGCTCCAGCTACCTGATACTTCCATAGTTTTACACAAACATCCTAAATTCTTTCACTTCCGAAATGAATTTCTCATACAGTTTTTTAACTGTGTAGACATGAGAGCTTTTCTCCTGCCACAAATTCTAAGAAATTTAAAAGCCAGGATTATCTCTTGCATATTTTTATACAAGGGGTCTCCAAAAAGTTCATGGAAAATGAGTCCTATGAGAAAAAAAAAAAAAAACACGCATGAATTCTAAAGGTTTGTGTAGCAAAGTGTGCTTCTCTCTTAGTTCCATTTTTCATGAAATTTTCAAGAGCCCTCATGTCTTGAAAGATGACATAAAGATAGGTCCTAGTCAGTTGAGAAAAATCGATCAGGACCATAACAGAGTGCTGAAGCCCCTCAGGATGACAGCTCAAGCATCCTAACCTTTGTCTGGCACTGCACCTTCACCCCTCCCCCGAGGGCCCTGGGAAGGGCATTTCCTGGCTGAGCAGGAATGTACTTGACGTTTCAGGAAACACTGACCTTCCAGGACGTGGCTGTGGACTTCACCAGGGAAGAGTGGGACCAGCTGCACCCGACTCAGAAGCACCTCTACCGAGACGTGATGTTGGAAAACTACCAGAACCTGGTCGCACTTGGTAAGGACTGTGTCCCTGGGAAACTGGGTGTACGTGTTTGCTTAGGTAGTAAAAGCCTCCAGAGCTTCTGTGAATATAATTTAGGCCATGACAGAAGAATGCTAATTGGCTTTGGAGGCAGAAACCTGTCTCCTGCTCTTTCATCTCAGGTGAAAGGTCTTGACTTGGTTGAGGGTGAGATGGGCCGCTTTGTTTTGCTGCCTCTGAAGCCTCTCCCTAAGATTAAAAAGGATGGAAACCAGTTCTGAAAGAGGCTTTTGTTCCCACTGTAAACTCTTAAGGCATGCATTTTCCTGTGAATAGGACATCAACTTTATAAGCCGGAGGTGCTCGTCCAGTTGGAGCACGAGGAGCCGCAGACAACAGAAGCCAGCCCACTGAACACGCTTCCAGGTGAGAAGCAGGCCATTGGCTACTCTGTGAGGGAAAATAGCCACTCCTTTCTCTCTTTTTTTCCTTTTTTTGAAAGTCAGAGAGAGAGGGAGAGACAGAGAGCTCTTCCATCACCACTGGTTCACTTCCCAAATGGCCCCAATGGCCAGGGCTGGGTCAGACTGAAGTCAGGAGCTCCAGACGGGTCTCCCACAAGGTTGGCAGGAACCCAAATAATTGACCATCTTCTGCTGCTTCTCCAGGTGCATTAGCAGGGAGCTGGATTGGAAGCCGAGCATCAGGAACTTGAATCGGCACTCTGATACGGCATTCAGCATCACAGGCGGGGTCAGTGCCTGTGTAGTGTGTTAAGACACCACCTGCAGTGCCAGCATCCCATATGGGTGCCAGTTCAAGTCCCAGCTGCTCCACTTCTGATCCAGCTCTCTGCTGATGTGCCTGGGAAGGCAGCTGAAGATGGCTCAAGTGCTTGGGCCTCTGCACCCATATGGAAGACCCAGAGGAAACTCCTGGCTCCTGGCTGGCCTCTAGCTTCAGTTTGGCTCAGTTCCAGCTATTGTGGCTATTTGAGGAGTGCACCAGTGGATAGAAGATCTCTCTCTCTCTCTCTCTTTCTCTCTCTCTCTCTGTCTTCCTCTATCTTTGTAACTATGCCTTTCAAATATAATAAATAAATATTTTTTAAAAAAGATTTGTTTTGCTCATAGTTTTGGAGATTCAAGTCCAAGATCAGGAAAGCCTCCTTGATTTGGCCTGTGATGTAACCAGTGAATAACATTGGCAGAGAACATGTAGAGATGGGCCCACATGGCAAACCAAGAAGAGAAAGCTGCTGGATCCAGCTCAGGCTATTGTAACCAATCCTCTTGTGAGAACTGCCTTTTCAGGGCACAAACAATAACTTAAGGATCTCCCACTAGGCTCACCTCCTAAACATATTAGTTGTTTTGTTTCCACCCCATAATTACCATTAATTAATACTTTTATGTTCAAAGCCTTGCATTCAGGGGCCAAATTATCCTATCCACAGCCATGACATCTTAACATGATGGGTAGCAAAATGAAGAGAGATGGAATTGTATGCATCACTTACTCCTTAAATCAAGATAAACTCCAAAGGGATCAGAGAGATTTTAAGTATAAAACATAGACCCATAAGAAATCTGGAAGAAAATGGGAGAGAAATACTTTATAACCTGAAGTGGGGGAGTTGTTTTTTCACTATCATTCAAAACTTAGAAACCATGAAAGAAAAGACTCATACATTCAACACACAGAAATATGAAAATTATACATAGTGTAAAATAATAAAATGAAAAGATAAATAACAATGGAGGAAAATGTTTGTAACTTAGATGAAGAGGGTTAATCTCCCACTAATGTATATAAAATCTTCATCTAAATCAAGAAGAGACCAAGAATGAATAAAAATAAATAAATAAATAAGCAAACAGGGGCTGGCATTGTGATACAGCAAGTTAAGCTGCTGCTTGCAACACCAACATCCCGTATAAGTGCTGATTGGAGCCCCAGCTGCTCCACTTACAGTCCAACTCCCTGCTAATGCCCCTTGGAAAGCAGTGGAAAATGGCTTCATTGGTTGGGCCCCTGTTACCCACATGGGAGACCTAAATGGAGTTACAGGCTCCTGGCTTTAGTCTGGCCGAGCCCTGATTAATGCAGCCATTTGGCAAGTGAACCAACAGATGGAAGATCTGTGTGTGTGTGTGTCTCCCTCTATATATAACTTTTTTATTTATTTACTTGTTTATTTTTTTAAGGAATACAGATTTCATAGATACAACTTTAGGAATATAGTTATTCTTCCCACAGTACCCAACCTCCCACCCCTCTTCTTCCTTCCTCTCCCATTTCCAGTCCCATTCTCCATTAAGATTCATTTTCAATTAACTTTGTACACAGAAGATATACTAAGTAAAGATTTCAACAATTTGCATACACACACACACACAAAATGTTTGAGAACTAGTTTTACAGTTAACTCTCAGGGCCGGCGCTGTGGCTCAATACGCTAATCCTCCGCCTGTGGCGCTGGCACACTGGATTCTAGTCCCGGTCAGGGCGCCAGATTCTGTCCCAGTTGCTCCTCTTCCAGTCCAGCTCTCTGCTGTGGCCTGGGAGTGCAGTGGAGGATAGCCCAAGTGCTTGGGCCCTGCACCCTCATGGGAGACCAGGAGAAGCACCTGGCTCCTGGCTTCGGATCAGCACGGTGCGCCTGCTGCAGCGCGCCAGCCACAGCAGCCACTGGGGGGGTGAACCAACGGAAAAAGGAAGACCTTTCTCTCTGTCTCTCTCTCTCTCTCTCACTGTCCACTCTGTCTGTCAAAAAAAAAAAAAAAAGTTAACTATCACAACTCATTGAGGAGAGAGGTCCTGCATGGAGAGTTAGTGCACAGTGACTTCTGTTGTTAATTTAACAGTTAACACTCTTATATATAATGTCAGTGACCACCTGAGGCTCTTGACATGAGCTGCCTAGTCTATGGAAGCCTTTAGAATCTACAAACTCCATCAGTATTTAGACAAGGCCATAAGCAAAGTGGAAGTTCTCCCTTCAGAGAAAAGGACATCTTTCTTCGATGGCCACTTCTTTCCACTGGGTTCTCACTCACAGAGAGCCTTCATGTAGAACTTTTTTGCCACAGTGTCATGGTTTTCCATGCCTGAAATGCTCTCATGGGCTTTTCAGCCAGACCAGGAAGCTTTAAGGGCTGACTCTGAGGTCAGAGTGTTCATTAAAGTAATTGTCATTCTATGAGTCTGCCATGTGGACTGCTTTCCATGTTGGAACATTCTCTCCTTTTTAATTCTGTCTATTAGTATTACCAGACCATTGATCCTATTTGTATGATCCCTTTAACACTTATTCACAAGAATATGTTCACTTTAACACTTAATTTGATCACTTTAACACTTAAGATGGTATTTTTGCCACCCTGCTTAATGGGATTTGGGGGTCCCATGGCAAGTTTTTAAACTGTAGCCTTAGAAATAAGTTTGTAGGAATGTATGCAGAACTATACAGTTTTATAATTACAAACTTCCTCTTTCCTCTCTTATTCCCACTCTTTACTGAGATCCAACCTCAATTGACTTTATTATTATTATTTTTTTTTTTTGACAGGCAGAGTGGACAGTGAGAGAGAGAGAGAAACAGAGAGAAAGGTCTTCCTTTGCTGTTGGTTCACCCTCCAATGGCCGCCATGGCCAGTGCACTGTGGCCGGCACAGCACGCTGATCCGAAGGCAGGAGCCAGGTGCTTCCCTGGTCTCCCATAGGGTGCAGGGCCCAAGCACTTGGCCATCCTCCACTGCACTCCCGGGCCATAGCAGAGAGCTGGCCTGGAAGAGGGGCAACCGGGACAGAATCCAGCGCCCTGACCAAGACTAGAACCCTGTGTGCTGGTGCCACTAGGCGGAGGATTAGCCTGTTGAGCCATGGCGCCGGCCTCAATTGACTTTATACACATATGTTTAACTCTATGTTAAGTAAAGAGTTCAACAAATAGCATGTGGGGAAAAAAAATTCGAAACTGTTCCTCAACAGTCAAGACAAGGGCAGCTCAAGTCATCCCATCTGGAAGTGTCAATTTCACTTCTACAGATTTCATTTTAGGTGCTCTATTCTCACAGATCAGGGAGAACATATGGTATTTGTCCCTTTGGGATTGGCTTATGTCACTAAGTTTCCCCAGTGTTCTCTAATAATTTGATGGTGTTGGGTTGTAGATTTAGATCTTTAATCCATTTTGAGTGGATTTTTGTGTAAGGTGTAAGGTAGGGATCTTACTTCATACTTATTTCACTAAGTATGATGTTTTCCAGATTCATGCATTTTGTTGCAAATGACTGGATTTCATTTTATTAACTGCTATGTGGTATTCTATAATGTGCATATCCCGTAATTTATCCAGTCTTCGATTGATAGTTTGACTTCCTCCTTTCCAATTTGTATCCTTTTGATTTATTCTTCTTGCCTAATGGATCTGGCTAAAACTTGCAGCATTATATGAAATAGCAATGGGGAGAGTGGGCATCCTTGTCTGGTATCACATCTCAGTGGGAATGTTTCCAACTTTCCCCCATTCAATAGGAGCTGGCCATGGGTTTGTCATAAATTGCCTTGATTGTGTTGAGGAGTGTTCCTTCTATATACAATTTGCTTAAAGTTTTCACCTCTCTCTATAACTTGCCTTTCAAATAAATAAATAAATCTTTTTAGAAAATACACAAACGGTATGAACAGTTCTTAGATAAAGGAATACAAGTAGTTTTAACAAATGAAAAAATGTTCACTGTCACTCGTGAAAAAAGAGAAATTAGCTTTTCTTGCTTATGAGATTAGCAAAAAGTCCAAAAGTTTGACAACACACACTTTGGATGAATCCCTGGGAATAAAGCATTCTCATACCTTGTGGGATAAGATGAACCATCAGTAAGCACAAAAGTACCCTAGAATAATTAAGAGGCTCCCTTTCTAGATGCCTTGTTTGGCATTGTAGACTCTGAATAAACAAAAATACAGTCTAGGGTCACACGTTTTTGTAAACATTTCATCAAAATATAGCAAAAGGGGCCACCATTGTGGTGTAGGGAGTAAAGCCACCACCTGTGATGCTGGCATCCCATGTGGGTGCCGGTTTGAGTCAAAGGCTGCTCTACTTCCAATCCAGCTCCTTGCTAATGCACCTGGAAAAGCAGCAGAAGATGGTCCAAGTCCTTGGGACCCTGTACCTGCATGGAAGACCCGGATGAAGTTCCTGGGCTCCCGGCTTCGGCCTGGCCCAGCTCCAGCGGCCATCTGGGGAGTGAATCAGGAGATGGAAGCTAGATCTTGCTCTAGGTCTCCCTTTCTGTATATAACTCTGCCTTTCAAATAACTAAAAATAAGTCTGAAAAAAAGAAACAAAGATAGCTACACTTGTTCTTTTACATATTGTCTATGGCTTTCCCCACACTACAATGGCAGAGTTGAGTAAT